AGAGAGAGCAGAACGTTAGAGATTGAACTAACTTAGACTTAAACGGAAAAAAATTGTACTTACTTACCCATCATGGAGGAAAAAAAAGTTTGGTGACTCATTAAAGAGCAGGTATAGGAGATGCTAGTAGAACTAACCTTGAATCCTGTTGTGCAATTGTAGAAGATATGATTATATTAAATAACTAGAACTGGAAGATATTGCTAATTGGTCATTCAAATGGAGGGTAAAACCAATAAATTATTATTATTAGGATTATTACTGTCATCTGCTTACACCAGGGTCCTTGGTCCTTTACATGAAGGTTGGACTCCTAAAGGCTCTTAGACTATGGTTATCATTTGATCTTCAACATTGTTAACATCAGGATAGAATAAGTGGATGTGATGGAGGAGTATAAATACATTGATGTTCATCTAGACTGGACTGTAGACACAATTGTGAAGCTAAGAGGGGAATGAGTCCCCAGCTTATGACGGGCGCTGCCACTTGAATTCCTAGCGAGCGAGCGGAGCAGGCGCCATCCGACGCCGAGCAGCAACAGCGTCCAAAGGGGAAATCCAAAGCTGGAGCCAGAAGTCAGGTCCAGGTTCTGGAGCCGGTAGAATCCAGGAATCAATTCCAAAACAGATGAGGAAAACAGATCAGACAGGGGCAAGGCAAAACTCTGGATCTACAGGGCAGAAACAGGTCACATCCATGAAAACAGAACAGACTTCAGAAAGCTAGAGTTAGTCTCACCAAAACGCTTGAATAACCTGGCACTGATGGAAGGCAAGCACAAGACATGAATCGCAGAGGAACCAGGAGGAAAAGATCGGCGTTAATCAGCCGAACAACCAATTAGACAGTGGAGCAAGGAGCAAAGGGAAAAAACAAACCATCAGTGCCAAGATCATGACGGCTTTGGTCCTTCAGCTCCAAATATTTTAATCTGGTTCAACCATAACCATTATCTAACTATAGATGTACCCTCCTTTAGATTACACTGGTTCCCAATGCACCTAAATAGTCATTTCCTGGTCTGTCAGACTTTCATGTAATTGCTGTTTTTTTTTTATTTCATTCCCAGGAGGCAAAGTCATTGATTTCTCAGAGATCGTTTAATCCCAGAGACATATTCAAACAGAAGGAGCAGAGCTTTGAAGTCAATAACAAAACACCTCCTGCTGCATCCCGACCTGGTAGGAGCACAACTAACTGTTACTAAACTATGGTGTCACATTTATTTCAAAATGCCTACCAGCAAAATAAACATACTCGCATGTATGTTGAACTACTTCTGCGCATGGTTTATCTACCGCCGTACAACTAAATCACACGTGCGAAAAACTGCTGCTCTGAGAGGAGCCCCACAAGCGCCTGGGATCGTGCTGAGGACGTACAGTTTCCTATCCAGCAGCCAAGCTCAAGGACGGCTGCGCTCCAGAAGTGTCTCTGCCCTTGAACTGATTCTCTCCCAAAGTAAAGGTAAATGTGTTTTGACAAGTTAGGTGGAAATCAACCGTTTTCTGTAACCCTCCTCCTGATTGGTCCTTGCAGACACGATCACACGGGAAGTAGTGTCAAGAAGCCTTCCTGACACTACTTCCTGTGTGATCGTGTCTGCAAGGACCAATCAAGACGAGGCTTACAGAAGAGGTTTCCCTCCGCCCAACATGTCAAAACACATTTTCGTGCAGGAAGAAAATCGGTCCAAGGGCAGAGATGCTGTTGAGAGTGCAGCCATCCTCGATTGTGAGCGCTGGATAGAAAATCCTGCCCGCGGTGAGATCTCACACACGATCCTGTTGGGAAATATTGCCACAATGGAGCCAAATCAATTTGATGAACCGCATCAATCCCTCCTTTTACACAAGGTGAACAAAAGAATGGTTCTGGAAAGTTCTGAAAATCTCCAGCTCTGGCACAGCCAGCTCACGCATGGTCCAATCAGCTGACAAGAAGGCTGGAATCCCAGCAGGAAATACCCCTACATCATTCAGGGTTTAAATCTAAGCGGCGAGAAATGAAATCAGTCTCTTTCCCTGAGTTACGCCGTCCGTGAGGAGAGTCACATTTCACGTGAAATGCTAAAGAAAGCTAACTGGAAATAGCTTTCTTTTTCCTGCGTCAAAAGTCACAGATCGCATTGACCCATCGTGCATAGCGCCCGCTGAACTGGGTGAGACGGGGATCTCCGAAGATGAACGCTACGTGGATTTTCCCGTCTTTGTGAGGACCTCCATACCAATCACGGCCTATCTGCAGAGGGACGCCTTTGCTTTCGATAGCCGGAAGTAGCCTTCCTCGATTTTTAAAAGCCCATCAAGTTCCTCCGCTAGCATCAGACTGATCTAAAATTCTTCCGAGAACGGATCCCAGTGAGACAGACCCGCACCGAGCTGAGGCCGAACCGCAGCTCCCTTCCCCGGACTGCAACACGTCTCAAAGTAACACCCATCCACTTTCCATTTGAGGCTTTAATGAGGTGCTGCGCTTGAGTGAGAGACGGGCAGAAAGAGGGAAATCTCGACTTAATCTATGCTGGTTATAAGAACTCTGGTTTAATGGCTCAAATAGGTGTGATGTAAATAGTCACTTATTCTACCTCATGTTTATTTTCTAATAGCGTGTAGTGCTTTGCATAGATGTTAGATTTCTGTAATCCTGAATGATTATAATAAGACGTCATTGTTTAACTTGCAGTTGGATGCTATTCATATACAAATGGTTTATCACTCAGGCCAGATCCACCCTCTTTTTGTAATAGGTTGAATAGACAGAGATAAATATTTCTTCGATTATTAATTAACAGCTCTGCTGATAACCTAGCCTAGGTCAATAAATTGGTGGAAATACCTGGATTTTAACAGCCGATCCAGGAACCATCCAGAGGTGAAAAGCACCAACTCTGGTAAGTAAGCAAATTAGAGCTACAATTATTTAATTAAAAACACTAAATTGATTTCACTTCCAATTTTGAATAAGTTAAATAATTAACTACAACTCTAGTTAATAAGTTATATATTATCTGCAGGATATCCTTTTGCACAACAATCCCGCGTTGATTTCTCGCGCATATGTAATTTTGTTGTGCAGTGGTAGATAAACCATGCGCAGTAGTAGTTTAAGTTACATGCGAGTGTTTATTTTGCTCGTAGGTGTTTTGCAATAAATGTGACACCATACTAAACACCCGCAGCACAATGAGGGGTTGATATTATTGTTTCTATCCTCAGGGAAGCTGCAAAGCACATGGCTGAAATCCTTTGAGACTCAAACTCAGGTGGAGCCTCAGAGTCCCACTCCAGAGCAAAAGTCTCTTTCACTGAATTCCTTTTCTTCCGGCACATCTGACCTGTCTGCGTTTCCTGCTGCGGTTGTCTCCCCCACACCCCCACAGACCACAGGCCTAGATGAGCAACCTGAAGGTTAGATGCACCTCATGATCAGCTCATTCAGCTTTAAGTCATGTTATCAACTTATTATTATAAGGTTGTTTATATAGAGGACTCAAAATAACTATCAATCAAATATCCCTTACAACTTTTATTCACTCAAAATCAAACAACACAGCCTACCTCTTTGTGTTGGTGGAATTATATCATTATCGCAGGTCAAGCTATGAAGATGTGGAGCTGTCAGTCGGCTAAGAAGCTGAATGATTGCTAGAACAGAAGGAGAGGTCAGCCTCTTCTGTTCTTCCATCATCCATCCATCATCCATCCATCATCCATCATCCATCCATCCATCCATCATCCATCCATTCATCCATCCATCCATCATCCATCCATCATCCATCAATCATCCATCCATCCATCCATCCATCATCCATCATCCATCCATCATCCATCCATCATCCATCATCCATCCATCATCCATCATCC